TAGACCACTGCTTGTAGGCTGTATCACCTTAGGAAAGTTATAGAGTCCCACCTTCCATTTCTTTACCCCTAAAAAAAATGGAATGATGTCCTTTAGGTTTACGGTTGTTCCTGTCATTTAGTAAGTGCACCATAAATGCCAGCAAATTTCATATTTCGATGCAAATAACTTTATAACAATATATAGATCACTTTTTCCTAATTTTGCTTATAAATCTAACAATTTTGGTTTTGCTTATTGTATATACACACATAAATATTTTACACATAATATATACAGTACTTTTTTGTCCAAAATTCAGTATACAGCTACAAATTAATTTATTGTGATTTTTCAAAAAGACCGAAGCTCTACAAAACTCTATTTTCTATAAAGATAAATCCTAGGAAACTTTATAATGTACTAAATTTTCAGGTGATGGGGCCATGAAACAGGGATTCAGGTAGCACAACTGTTGGGAGAAGCTGGATATTGTATTTAAGAGCCAAATATAATCAATACATAAAAGTTAATATAGTTAAATATTAAATATTGAAACTGTTGTGTTTTCTTAATCCTAATCTAATAAAAGCAACAATTATACCTATAAATAGAAGGGCCTGTGTACTCAGTGATAGAAGAGTGCCTGTCCCATCCTGTTCTTAGATAAAATGAGATGCTTATCTCTCTGGTTTCTTAGCCTTAGACCAACAAAGGAATTCTCAGAGGGAGTGAAGTTAGTTGTTAAAGGAACATTTCAGGATAATACAGCATGGAAAGGCTGTTTTCTAAGTAGTGTCTTTTATAAAGGAGGGTATAGTAGAGGCATGTTAACAGGGAAAATATCAGACTTACAGGAAAGAAAATTAAAAATTAAAAAAAACATAAAAGTAATTGCTTCATCTTCTAAGATCTGTTGGGACATATACTTTTCAGCCATGGTCACAACCTACCTTTTTCCCCCTCCAGCTCATTATGAGTGCGTGTGCGTGCATATGTGTGTGTGTGTGAATGTTGGTGTATGAGTGTGTGAGAGCAGAGGATTTCAGGAAAGAACTGCTTTAGCAATAGAATGCTGTACATAGTTTAACGCTCTATAATGTCTGGAGTCTCTCTGAACTTCCGGAAAGGCTCTGAGATAACCACGTCGGATGTAAAAGGTGAGCAAGTGGGAAGGCTGGGATTGCCATCCAGCCTAGTGCCTACGCTGGGGTTTGTTGATGGTACCATTTGGAACAGGTGAGGAGAGGGCAGGAACGCCTACTCTGCTGCCTCATGGAATCGTGTCACCAAATCAAAAGAACTGATGTGTGGCAGACTGTTTGGAAACGGGTAATGCGATGGTGAGGGGCTGTAATTATACATTAAGCTCTTGTGACCAGCCAGGATTTCTCTGCAGAGGAAAAGAGAAGATTTGAGCAAGGATCTGATAATTTTGAATTTTTGGAAATAACCTTTGTGCTCAGTGAGATTACTGGTCTACAAAATCTTGTTTACTTCATACCTTTCTCGCCTCTCCTTTCTGTACCAATACCCTTGATGTACAGACTCTAGGCCACTTGATCCCTGGGGCAAATTGTAAAGTTTGTATTTTTTATAACTTAGCTCTATTTCTTTTTAATGAGACAAAAGAGGGTTTTACATGTTCAATGAATAATTGAAAGAGCTGAAGAGAAAATATGGAATTTAGAATTTAAGTACTCTAGTAGACCTATAACCCACACCCCCATTCTCTAAAGCCTCAGTCCCATTCATCTGAATTTCAATTTCTCGGTTTTCCCGAAATAAGAACAATTAGCAAAGTATGTGATGAGTCACATCTGGATTGACAACATTCCTGAAATGAAATGGAGAAAAGGCCCTGCTGCCATGAGGCAGCTGAGATGGCCGGGGGCCTGTACGCTGAGTCTGCCCGTGGCCGCCTTCGCTGGGGAGAGGTTATCAGTCCCAATCCTCTTACTCACCATTTCAGAGGGCTCTGGGTGTCAGCGAGAAACTCTTTCCCTGTAAGAAGGAAGCCAGCTCCTTCAGCCTTTCCTCATAGCAGAGATTCTTTAGAGATGCAATCATATTTTGGTTCTTTTGTTCCACCCTAGTACCACTTCCACTCCTGGGAATCTTACCCATTTGGGCTAGATTTGGGCTTCATCAGAGTGTATTGCACAGTCACCAATTCTATCATAAGGCATTCAACTTTCTTACCACCAGTAATAAGAGTGTGGTTGGGACACATTTTGTATAGTCAGAGCAGATGGAAGATAAAAAAATGAGTGTTAGTATGTCAATACTTAGAGGAGACTTTTACAGACGGCAATAGGGAATCGATGATGTTGAGATCTAGCAATGACTTTTGCAAGTTTTATGGCTAATGCTTTGACTTGTTTTAGGCATTGTGGTTTAGAACCTAACAAAATGAAAAAGAGAACTTATATCTTGACTTTTTAATTTCACCTCAGAATGTGCTGGGGATGTTATTCTATGATGAGTAAACTTAATCTGTTGTTGAGTTCCACATTCAGGAGATGTTGACTTTCCTTGGAATCTCAGAAATTACCTACTATAACCATGTCATTATAATGACATAAAAAATGCAAGACCAGCTATCTTTAATTGGCAAAGCTTATCACATATACTTGTTCTAAGCATCACACACACACACACACAGATTACCTCTAAGTCTTACAACAGTTGTACAATGTATTCTTAGTATCCCTATTATACATATTGAAAAACTGAGGCTGAGAAAAAATAAGCGACTTGCTCAAGGCGACATAGCTAGTCAAGATTTGGACCCAGATCTATCACATGCCAAAGTCAGGTTCATTTCCATTACAATGTGTTGTTGCAAAGACAGGAATAGAAACAAACTTCCTGACTTCCTGTCCCATTCCCTTTCCATTAAGCCAGTGATTTTTCAACCTTTCACCTCATGGCACACATAAACTAATTACTAAAATTCTGTGGCACACCGAAAAATATTATACATTTGCCAGTCTGACAAAAAATAGGTATAATTTTGATTCAGTCACATCAGACAGCTATTGCTGTGTTGGCTGTTGTCATTTTATTATTTGACAGTTTAAGGGAAAGGAGGTCAGTGCTCCTGACTAAACAGTCAGGCACTGCATGTTTTAAAATTCTTGGTGGCGCACTGGTTGAAAGTCGCTGGGTTAAGCTATGATGGATTTCTATGTTCTATCCTATAATAGTACTGCAATTTGATCTTGCTTTCCAGATCACTAATTTTACTAAACCATTGCAAAGAAACAAAGCTAATGGCGCTGACCTTGAAGCTAATGATTATATTTTCATCGGATATGACTTATTTCATGAAAAAAAGAACAGGAAATACTTTGGCTTTGATGTTATTCAGAATATTGACATGATCCCAAAGTCAGCTAGCTTTATATCAGTTTTTCCGGAACAATCTTTAAAAATGGCTTTGATCCCATAAAGTTCAAACCTTTCCGTGGATGGATGTGAAGACCTTGTGGACCACTGGAATCCAGCCTTTGGCTCTGGCTTCAGTCTTCTCTGTGTGCTGATTTTGGTGTGCTCTTAAACTGGTAGAGTAGAAGGGTCTGGTAGATGAAAGACATAACTTACAGAATGAAACAAGGAACTAACTTCCTCCAGAAAAATGTTACATTTGTTTATTTATATTTTTAAATACTTTCTTTCTTTCTTTCTTTCTTTCTTTCTTTCTTTCTTTCTTTCTTCTTGGGAGACTAAGTAATGAAGCAATACAGGAGTAAACTTAGTTTAGGGGAAAACTGATGAAACCAAATATTTCAAACAGTAACTTAGGGAGCAGTGGGCTATGTGGAAAGTTGAGCCTGAAGTCTCTAATGTTTGGGATTATGATGTGCGGTCAGACTCTAAGATAAAGCTTTAGAATGTAAACTATCCTTCAGATTGAGGATTTTAAGAAGTAGTTATGCGCCAACTTTGATTTCACAAAGTTTCGGCCTTTAGTAATCTGTAATGGTGAAGCTGTGTATGGAGCTGAGAAAATGTTGAACTTGTGGTCTTTTTATTTTTAAATCTTCATTTGAGGATATGTTTTTATTGATTTTAGAAAGGGAAAGGGAGAGAGGGGGGCATGAAGAGAGAGAGAGAGAGTGAGGGAGCGAGAGAGAGAGAGACAGAGACAGAGAGAGAGACATCAACAGGTTACGCCCAGACCAGAGACTGAATCCACAACCTAGGTATGTGCCCTGACCAGGAATCAAACCCACAACCTTTTGGTGTACAGGACGATGCTCCATCCAACTGAGCCACCCAGCCAGGGCATTTACGGTCTTCTTTAAAGTGCCACCTCTGCCTCTTCCATCTACACTGCGTGTCCTTGGGAAAGTCATTGCTCCTCCTCTGAGTTTCTGTTTCGCCATGTATTCAGTGCTAGAATTTTGCTGGGTTATCTATTAGGATCATTTAGCTCTAACCTATGCATGAGTCTGTGGCACTACATGGAGACACCTGGAACATCTGTGGACAGAAGCAACAAGAACATCTGTGGATAGAAGCTACAAGAATCCTTGTTTCTCTTACTATAGAGCAGCTTTCTCCAGACATGCCAAAATCTCTACATGTTGACCTGACTGGTAGGACGACCAATCTGTCTTCTTTTCCCTTCCTACCCACTGAGGAAGGGAGCCCGATGAGAGACATGTTTAGCTACGAGGCAGTGTGTCCATGTGGCTGAAGAAGTCAGTTCCTATGTAAGACTATGGAATATTAAACTTTGAGTAAGGTCCTCAGACTCAATCTACCGCCCTTGAGGAGGTATCGTGGAAACATTAGAACTACTTTGGAAAGAGACATTATCTGTCCAAATCTGCCACCTTGACAGGCTCCTAAAGCATGGAAGCTGAATTGATGGGGTATATTAAGGCTAGCACGACCTTGAACAACTGGTTTTGCAATGTTGGCTCTGTGGGTGTGTGTCACCGGCATATATAAAGTAAGCTGCATCTCCCCGGGTTCAGTCCTAGAGCACAAGCTGGTGAGCAATGCACGGAGCAGCCTTATAGCCAGTTTACACCATCTTTGTCATGAAGATAACCGCAGTGCCAGTACTTCTGAGCCTGGCTCTTTGCCTCATACAAGGTAAGCAATTTGCATGTAATCTAAGCCTCTCCCACAAACCTCAGCCCTGGGCAGAGACCTGTCTCCCTCCCCCTGCCCACACTTAGTATTCAAGGTTACAGAAATGCATGTAATCCCGAAGTACCTTGCCAGACACAGAGCTTTAAAGAATTATATATGCGGTTTTAGAACTGTGTTGTTAGCTGTAGAAATGGCAAGTAGTTTGAGATAACCTGAATTCTAGCCATGAGAAATTATTCCAGCAAGTCTACATTAGTTCTAAAAAGCTAGCGGATTCTCTATCTGACCCCATTACCAAGCATATCAATTCATACTAATAGGAATTATGTGTGTAATAGATATTGAAAACTTAGATGTATGTTTTATATGTGTGTGTATATATTAAATAGCATATTTATAAAGTACTAAAATTTAGATTCAATCATCTATTCTTATTTTAAAGCAGTAGTGCCTTCTGGCATATTTTATTTGTGTGTTTTCAAGTGCTAAATGGGTTTAAGGTACTTCTTATAAAAGGTAAGGGACTTTTGTGGGAGTTAGGAGGTAGGTTTCTGCATTTGCTACTTGACTTTGAAGGGAACACAGATCGCCTAGGCTAGAGTTATCTGGCTCTGAAGCATTTACATTATTTAAAAGGAATCCCTAGTTGGAGTTTTAGAAGAATATTATACACAAATGATGTCTAGTTTTCTAGAATCAATGTGTAGGTACAAACGGGTGTCTCATAATGAGGGAGTGTAATATAGTCTGTGATTTTAATTAAACTTAATTCTTATATCTTTCATTTTTGTAGCTGTAATAAGGAGGCAATGTTACCAGAAATCAGAAATTTTAATTTTAGGTGTATATATGATCTAAATTTTATGCTTTCAAGTTATAATTGACATGATAGGATTGATATTTAGGTTATAATTTTAAAAGAGGCCTGACGTACTTTGCTATGAAAGGGTTTTACAAATTAGATATTTTGAGGGGCTCAGAAAGCATATGAATATCATTTTCCAAAGTAATTGGGCCTTTCTGAGTGAGTAGACCTTTGCAAGTGTACGTACTGATCCCTGGGGCCGTGTCCTCACTTTATTTGCCATGGTAAATTTTAATGTGTTCAAAAAAAATTTGTGATTTTTCTAGCATATTTCCAATAAAGTGAACAAGGTACTGCACTAAGCAAATTGCTTGCCTTACTTATAAATATTTTGCATTCCCTTAACTCTGGTATTTGTATTTTTTTGTGTTCCAGATGCTGCCAGTGAGAATGAAAATCAGGTTAGTCCTGCTTTTTCCATTCATGAATTCATTCCAAGATCTCTAAAGAAAAAAGGTTCACTGACAACACCCCAGTGTTAATAATACAGACACATTACACTGATATGTACTAATAGCTTCTGCTAAAAACACAGAAACGGGCCTTTATAAATCAAGGCATGAATCTCACACACATACACATCAGTGTATTAATAATAATGGATCTGAGCAAGAGGCAATCTACCACACTGTAAGGGTGCTGTAAAACTCCACAAAGAAACAGACCCGTGAATTACTATTGATCTGCTTACCAACTGAAAGGGTCATGACACACACAGGAAGCAGATATAAGTTTTCTTGTGATTATTATGTTAAAAGGAGTTTGGCTGTATCTTGTATATGGTCAGTGTACATTCCATTCAATAAATATTTAATGAGCATCTATTATGCATTAGACTTTATTTGAGATGGGGTGATATTCAAAAGTAAAGGAAATAGACAAGAGCCCTGCTCTCGTGGAGCTTACATCTCTGGAGGAGACAAGTTAACAAGCAAATAGGAAAACATATAGTACATTAAATATTGGTTAGTATTGTGCGAAGAACAAAGATGGAAGGTAGAAATTTCTGGGGAAGGAGCTGGTGTGAGTTCTTCCTGGGATTGTCGGGTAAGTGCTCCCTGAAGCTAACATTAGAACAGGGATCTGAAGGTGATGGGGGAAGATCCGGAAGATGTTTGCACTGTGGAGCAGACCTGGCAGAAGCATCCCTGGTGGAGAGGCCCAGACTCAGGAGGGGCTTCGCTCCCTCTTTCTTAGAGGCCTTTTGTTTGAGAGATAAAAGGATAATTTCCTATAGAAGTTAATCATTTCACCTGTCTGAAAAAAAAAAAAGTTAAAAGGGCCAGTTACACACACACGCAACTATGCAATTAATTCAGCACTAAAAACAAGTATTTGCTATGTCTCTCGCAAGCCATAAACATTAAAATAATTAAACAGTAAAACAACCCTTTTTTCTACAGTGAAACTGTTAGAACTATGGTAAAATACTTTCTTGCTATATTTTATTACAACCATTTTTTTTTTTAAAAAAAGAAACTTCTTACTGGAAAGTTCTGGAAAAGTTCATCATAGTGTCTATTATTCATCTAAGCTGGCCGCTCAAGGAGAGGGGCAGACACCGCCCTGGAATAAGTGAGGGGCACCACGGAGTGGGAAAGAGCCCAGGCTGCGGGGACCCAAGGGGCACGAGCCCTGGGAGGTTGTATTGTGTAAACCTCATTTTTCATGAAGCTGTATTTTTTTTCTAGTCTATGACAATGGGCGATGACTTCCAGTGGATATGTCAGATTTTGCACTGACACTTTTTATGCCATTAAACTCTATTTTACTAAAAAGTGTTTTAGAAATTTAAACTTAGCCACCTCTCCTGTTGGCACAAGCAAGAACACCGAGACGTAATTATTTCTCTGGAAATGTTTCTGATCACAGTCCTTGGACCTTTTGTCAGAAACAAAACTGTTGATTTAGTCTTTCTTGCGGTGCTGGAAATTGTATTTTCCAAGCTCAGTGAGTAGCTCGCTGGGAGTTATAAACAGGAGCTAGAACAGCATGGAAAAGCTCTGTAGTATCTGCAAGGACCCCTGCCCTGTGTTTACATTTGTCATCACAGAGGGTCATTCTCAAGCCAGAGCAACCTCCCTAGTGCTCTAACCCAGACAAGGGGCCCTGCCAGCTCCTGGGACATTCTGTTCCGATGTCTAGGGAGGGACTCTGGGCTATACAACAGCCAGCGAAGGAAACAGGAGGAGCTTGGCCCTAGAGGGCTCGGGTTTTCCTGAGATGTGGGGAGAACACAAAAGGCAGCAACAATAAGGAGACGAAGCGCCCCAAGGCCTGGAAGTGAGGCAGCGAGGAAGCAGCTGTGGAAAGCCGCCTCCCCATTCGGTCCGCATCTGCTCCTGTCTCAAAACCCTCTATGTGGCCGTGGTTGGGACCATATTACTTCCCAGAGAAAATCCCAACTGCTGCTTTCAGCTGTTACAGCCTTTTCCTGTTCCATAAGTCACAAGGATAGCATCGAGTCTCATCTTAACTGATTAAACATTGTGAACAAGTTTCTTCACCTGTTCCTGGGGCCTGGGCTGTTCGTCTGGGAAAAATAGACTGGCCTTTGTAGGAACCAGGGGCTCATGTCATTGGGGCAGTGCAGAAGGCTGATTGAGGAGTTTTTCTGATTGATAATGCTCTTATTTAACCGCTAAAAACTGATTAAAGCTTCATTCTTAGTGGTATCATGAAGCTTTGTTTTAAATATTTTCTTTAAGACCCACCTCACAAGGGATGTATTTCTTTTATTGTTATTATTTTATTGATTGATTTGAGAGAGAGCAAGAGAGGAAGAGAGCAAGAGAGAGACACTGACTTTTTATGCATCACGATTCTTGTTTGTGTCCTGACCCGGAATTAAAGCCACAAAGTTGGCATATCAGGATGACACTCTAACCAGCTGAGCTACCCGGCCAGGCTACAAGGGATGCATTTCTGTGACAGAGACACCAGGCTCTTCTCTGATTCTATGACAAAGTTTCTACCTAGATTTTATAGAATCATTTCTACCTGGCATGCTAAGCAGTGACTTCAGTGCTGGCGTAAGACACTATAAAATCAGAGAGCAGACACAGATCTTGGAGGCCCAGTTGTCAGTCTGCTGTCAGAAATTATTACTGTGCTACTGAGATAAGATCACTGGGTGGCGATCATAAACTTAGAGATATTTCAGTAGGTTCCCCTTAGAAAAATTTCCCAGGGCTGGTCTCTGACATTATTTAGTTACTTTTTTCGCCATTAATCATTCTGCAGGTGCTACCAACTGCCTCTGTGTTTAATGATGTACCTAACTAGGTTAGATACATCATTACTCATTAGACGGTAAGCAACACTTAGACAAGGGAGATCCCTTTGACCATTTATGCTATATCTTTGGCACCTAGGGAAGTAGTTTCATAAGTGTTTGTTGACTGACTGAATGGTTATTATAAAGCTATAGGGAGCCGAATAAAATCCTGTAATCAATCCTTTGGGAGAGGTTGTATTTGTCAGACTTGGAGCAAAGACTTGATCTAATTGTTTTCTAATACAAGCATCTCGAAGCAAGATTTTATTTTTTTGGCAAAATCAAAACAAAACAAAAACTTAATTTCACAGACTTGCTCTAAAGGTCCATTGAATTTGTGAGACTAATAAGGAATATAAATCGCGTTAAATAATAGAATGGGTGGAAATAAAGACAGTGGACAGATCTTTAAAAAGGAGGGTTCTTCCTTTTTGTGTATTGCTTAATTCAATATATTTTATTGCAGGACTCCTATATGTCACTCAGTCTTTTTTAGGAGCTTAAAATCAATGGCACATTTGCATTACCTGGTAAAATACTATTCAGAATGATTTCCCCTCTCCTCCCTAAAGTTGATAAAGTGCTGCCACCGGCATTTAACCAAAAGAGAGCCAAAACCAAGCATAGCACTCCATGTCTTGAAGGATGTCACACAGAATAGTAAAATAGTAGTTCCAGAGAATATACCAAAAAACAACACAAATTAATGAAAGAAAAAGAGGGAAAGATTTACAAGTTTTGGGAAGACTGCAGTTTTTCCATAGAGTCTCAAGATTTCATTCTGGTGGTAGTGATGGTATTAGTGGCATTGGTGGTGATGGGGGTGATGGTGGCTGGGATGGGGATGGGGGAACTTTTACAAAAAAATACAAATTTGAAAATATGGAATGACTAGGTCTCCCAGAGGATGTGACAGCAAAGGGCCTGGAAATTGAAACTCCATTAGCTTTTAAGTCAGTTTCTGTCCATAAAACATCAGTGGATCTGAGGTTTATTTCAGAAGAGGACCTAGTCTAGAAATATGTTCTCCAAACATATATGAGCAAGGAGTCCTTTCGTTCAACTTCTAACTTTTTGTCAGCTTTTTAATTGAACAACTGTTAACACTTCCGGGAGCTGGTGTCTTGGGTATATCCTTTGGGGACACAGCAGAGGCTCTTTACCGTGTCCGGTGCCCACGCACTGTGTCTCAGTCCTCCTGCCACTTTTTCAGAGTCCTTCTTACAGCACATTATGACCTACTATGTGCTGGGTGTTTTATATGTGCCATCAGCATGTTGCAATAATAATGACATCAACAACAAAAACAAAACAATAATAATAAAAGAAGAGGAAGGAGGGGATTAGTCTTATTGAATATCTACATGCATCAGACATTCTTGGAGGGCTTTTTACATACTTGTTATATTTAATACTCAGAAGACCTGTGAAATGCATATATTTATATTCCTTATTTTTACCAATAAAGTAAGTGAGCCTCTGAGAAGTTAATTTGCTAAGGCTACTGGGCTTGTGAATGAGAACCCTGAAATATAAACTCAGGTCTTAACACCCAGTCTGTTGTTCTTTCCATTTCACTAATTGTTTTAGATGAATGCTTATTAGGGGAATTTGCAATCTCCAATCGACAATATACAGAATCACTATTTTTGTTTGTGTTATTTGTAACAACCGAGTGAATGTCTTCCCTATAAAGGGGTAGTATTTTAAAAATAATATTGTTGAAGGAAGTGCTTCTTAGAAGGGAAAGTCTTGCTTTGATGAGGTTTCTGTAAACACAATTTTTTTTTCCATCTTTCCCTTAGGAAACGTGCGATGAATATAGGGCATTGATGAAAAATGGGAAGCTCTTCTGTCCCCAGGATAAAAAACTTCAAAGCCCTGATGAAATATTGTTCCTCAACAAATGTGCCACGTGCAAAATGATATTGTAAGTAAAGTCTCTCTTTCTTCCAGGTGTTGGAGTTACCAGATGACCTCTGAACTAGTAAATGTCTTCTTTTTTTATGTTTTGGTGAATGTATCTTTCATATCTAAATGGTTAAATAAAAACAGTTTGTAGATCACTCTGGCATCTCTCATCAGATAAAGTTGGATAAGTGCCACCCACCTGGAGAGATTTAATAATCACACAAGTGGTATTCCAACACACCCAGAGGGCCCAGGACTAGTACTTTATGTAAAACTTCATAGCCTTTTGAGCATGTAGTTGCAATTTGAGTTTCCTGGCTCTGAAAAAAAATTAATTTAAGAAAGAAAGTCAGATTTCTTGGGCCTGTTAAGACAGGCCCTGTTGTACCCTAGGGACTGAGAAAAGGCCCTGGGGAGTGATGTGAAACTTTTCTTGTGGCAGCCAACCAGGAGAAGAATTTAAGCAGGATACACCCTGACTCAGGGAGCTGCCAGTGCCTTCCGACGGTTGGGATTATACTAAAGTGAGATGGATTAACAAGTTAATTGTAGTTTGCAATTACCTGAAATTCAGAAAGAATTAGTATCCAGGAAGTTAACCAACATCTATGCAATGACTTCCTTCTCTCCAACGACAACGCAAAAGTGGAAGATGGCTTGAGTTATCAATTGCAAAACCTCAAGTCAAAGTGTCCTCATTTGTTTTTGAGCAGGAAGGTCGTTCTCAGTCTCTGACCCAACATCAAAGCTTCAACACTGGTACCGAGCCGATGCTAAGCTTACCCAGTTAAGATCATTATGGGATTATTAGCTTTTTAAATGCCAGGCTGGTATATGTCAGGGGATTTAATTTGACAGTCAATAATATTGGCATAATGAGGTTCTGATCACATGTGCTACTTCTAGAGAAGAGACTGTGGGAAGGGGAGGGGAGGCAGGGCCAGACCTAGGGTGGGGTGTGGCCCAGGGAAGGTTGAAGAATCCTTTCATGTTCTCTTGAAAGCTGAATGTAAGCCTGTAGGTGTATTATTTACTATAAAGTTTCCTTCTTGTTTCATAGGATGTTTTGATAGTAGACTGATACTATGAAATAACAAATTTACTAAAAACTAATTTCAAACAAATATAAAATGCCTTAACACACATAAGGCGGTTAATCATTTGAAGTCACTCACTCAATTATTATTTTTATTACCTATGTAAAGTATGTTGGAATAAACTTTTTTTTTTTTTAACCTGGAAAAAAAGAGACTGTACGAGGCACAAAAACTATCCTCAGATTGCTAAAGTTGCTCTATGGGTCCTTAGAAGATGGAACTGGGACCAAAAAAGGAAGGTAGATTTTTGTTCAGTGTGCATATGCTCTTTTCTTTTCTTTAATTTATTAGGGTTACATTGGTTAATGAAATTACATAGGTTTCAGGTGTACAGTTCTATAATACTGCATCTGTATATTGTATTATGTGTTCACCACCCCCAGTCATGTCTCTTTCCATCACCATTTATCCCTCCTTTCCCTCTCTTGCCTCCCCCCATCTCAATTTCCCTCTGGTAATAACCATACTGTTGTCTATGAGGTTATTTTGTTATTTTTTTCTTAATCCCTTTACCTTTTCACCCAGCCACCCTACTCCCTCCCTTCTGACAGCTATGAGTCTGTTTCTATTTTGTTTGTTAGATTATTTTGCTCATTAGATTTCACATATAAGTGAAATCATATGGTATTTGTCTTTCTCTGACTGGTTTATTTTACTTGGCATAATACTCTCCAGGTCCATCAAGCTGTCTCAAAAGGTGAGAGTTCCTACTAATTCAAAAAAATATACACACCCCTATGTTCATTTGCAATAGCCAAGATTTGGAAGCTGCCCAAGTGCCCATCAGCAGATAAGTGGGTAAGAAAGCTGCGGGCCATTCACACTGTGGAATACTACTTGGCCATGAATATGGTGTTTCAGAGAGAGCATTCCAACAATGGCACAGATGGCTTTAAAGTTGGTGACCACCTGGAAGTTGGAAATATTTAAGAAGGGTAGCCTAATATGCAGCTAAAGATAGAGATTCTTGCTTCCAATAGACCATGTTGGAGATTTTTTTAGCACTGAGGAGAGATCTGTGGTCCCTGTGCTCATTTCTGGGCATACCTCCTCTTCTGACCTGCCAGACTGGGCTGAGAACAGTTGAAACTAGGTTGACCATGTATGCTGTTATCCCTAAACGTTGGACAGGAGTGTCTAAGCTATGCTATTTCTTGTTCTCTTCCAGGGAAAAAGAAGCCAAAACCCAGAAAAGGGCTCAGCGTTTAGCAAGAGCCACCACAGCCGCTGCTCCAGCAAAGGTGAGAGACGATTTAAAGTCAATTTGCCATATTTGCTTTCAAGATTATGCTTGCCTCTACGTAGAACTATTTATTTCCTAATTACTAGGTCATACCTGTTGTGAAGCCAGCTACTAAGAAGGGAGGGAACACGGCTTAGTCCATGGGTGGGCTAAATATCCGGCACAGCTAGTCCGTAGGCCCAACCCGTGACCCAACTCTCTGAAAACACTTGGGCACTGACAGCATTGAGGGGTGGAGTCAGCCAGTGTGGAGTCTGCCTCCCAAGGTCCTTTCTTGTTCGTCCTGTCCTGCGTTAGCTCCATCAAGAGCCTTCATGGGACTGTGTAGCTGAAGTTCAAGCCTCAGAGCTCTTATTTGTTGGCTATGTCACTTGGACCATTTATGGACCTCTCACTCTCATTGTTTGCATCTTTGCAATGGAATGTAGGTCAAAGGAGAAACCAAGTGTAAAAAACCAGCTACAGCGTGTAACATGTGTCAGCAGGCATTTGCCTCCTTTTCGCTCCTTTTTCTTCCTTCTTTTATTTCCTACCGCCTATCTTTTCCAACCCTGAGAGACTTACCCTAATCTAACTAGAGTCACTTATTTAAATCTATTTTCCAGATTGGGATTTAGGCCAATATTTGTTTAACGAAAGTGTTCTGTGGTTAAAAAAAAAAAAAAAAAAAAGATATAAAATGAGAATGAAGCTACACAAATGCAACCTAACATACAACCGTTTAACTTTATAAATATTTTTAATTTATGCAAAATAGTTAATTTATACAAAAGAATACAAGCTCTAGGTCCAGATTGGAGAACATTGCTTGCCTATAATGTCTCACAATAAATTATCGACAAAGCTGGGCTCATCCCCAGGTATCCTGACCACTACCCACATCACTCCAGGCCTCCTATGTAGCTTCTCCATATTAATCTTCTTCTTCCTTTCCAGTCTCTGACAACTAATTAAAATAATCAGTCATGGCAGGCACACCCAAATTACTTTAACATCCCTGGTCTAACCAAGCTATACTATCTTCCTTGTCGATGTCACTGAGGAATGTCTGAGAACCTCAGCCTCCGCAGAAAATCTAGTCACATTCCTTGCCAGGGCTCAACCAGTCTCACTTTTAAAACAATAGCCCAATTACCACTCAGTCAATTTGAAAATCCTTTATCTGAGCAAAAAGGACCTGCTTCTGCACTTTACAAAATCTATGGTGGTCAGAAAATTTTGCTAGTAATGTTCAAATCTGCCTT